TTACTCACAGAAAGCACCATGGAACACAAGAAGGAACCGATTGCAATATCCCGGCCCGAAATAATCGGACACCTTATGAGGTATTCAGACATCAACAAAATAGCAGGTGTCATTACAGCATGACGAAAATCAGAACATGGGAAAATCATCGACCAAAGCCTCAATAAAAAAAGTGTCTTCAGGGAAGGCCAACAGCTTTCCCCTGTAATGGAATCAGAATGACAAAATCAGATAACAAGTTTTAGCTGATGAAAAAAAAAAAACACCAAACAAATTAATTGTTTAATTAAATACAAAAATTAATAGCAACTACAGTACTAGGCCTAACCTGTATTCTTAATATCCTCGCAGAACTGAGTTCGTGTACGAAGCAACCTCTGACGAGCACATATGGCTGCAAAATATGGGATCTCAGCACTCATTTCCATCAAAGGCTTAGTGAGCAAATTAAGCAATTCGAAATTCAATGGTTTTTTATTCGCCAAAACAGCAAAATATTGCAGCAACACCCCGTAGAACACCTGGAAAATAAATTTAACCCACGTCACATATAAATGCAACAATACTTCTCCAACAAGAGAAAAACGAAGAATACCCAACAATAAGATTCCAAACCTGAATTTTTTTCCTATTCTCTGCAGCAATGGAGATGGCATTAAACGTCCGGATTCGTCTAATAGCTTCCAAAATCTGATCATTGGAACAATTCTCTACCAATGCACTAAATTCTTCAAAACTCTTTGGTGCCTCAATCGTGTACGGAAGCTCCACTTTTTTAAGTGGTTCCTCGCTAGCGTTAGTTTTTGCATTGTCAGAAATTTCACCATCTTTCTGTTTAACCCTACTTTCCGTTATCTTTTTATATTTCTTTTTCATCATGTCACCCCCTTCACCTCCATCACCATCTTCATCCTCATCCTCATCCTCATCCTCATCCTCATCCTCATCCTCATCCTCATCATCCAAATTAGCTTCAATGTTTTCATCGTCACTTTGTTCCCAGTCCTTTAGAGACTGAGGCTTCTCATCTTCACTATGGTCATCCTCATCATCATCGTCGTCGTCATCATCATCATCATCATCATCATCATCATCATCAGCAGCAGCAGCAGCAGCATCAGCAGCAGCGTTGTCTTCGTTTTCTGATTCGCCAGAATCAGCTGCACCTTCACTTTCGATATCGTTATCATTTTCTTTTCTGAGAATGTCATCGATCCAGATAGCTTTAGTTTTCACCTTGGCATTGTGAGAGAATGAATCACCTAGATCATCCCCAGATATATGTGTACGCTGCTTTGCAGATTCATCATCGTCATCCTCAGATGCATCTTCATTACTGGAATCATGGCCCACAGCCATTCTCTTCTGACGTTCTTCCTGAAAGATATATATATTCAACTTATTTTTTCCTGCTATTAAGTTGATTTCTTCCACGGAATAGCTATTTGATGTAAATTTCATTGCTTCAGGGTTATAAAATTTTAAATTGTGGAAATGCGTATACACAGATGGCCATCATTTTACCGTGTGAAATATGAGATATTTACCATTCTGAATAGAGAAATTCACACACCACAGGGTCTGCTTAAATTTATACAGTATTTAAAAATTGCTTTTTTATAAATAAAGATAACAAATATCATTATCACAAGTCAAGAGTTGACATTACTATCAGCCGCAGACAGATCAAGATTCTATATCATATTAGCTAAAGTGGAGTGCTATGACTGCATTTTTAGAATATAAGAGAAAAAAAATAGTTACTCATTGTTCAATATGAAAAGTGCAAGCAGTGTTGAGCCAATGTAAAAGGACGTGACAATAATATACAAATTTTCCACCATCAATTAAAAAGGTTATTACCTCCAACTTCTCTAGACGCTCTTTCTCCTCTTGAGCTAATTCTTCAGGTGTCTTAGACCTATCCGATGGCCGAGCCCGCATGTCAAGTGCCATTTCACCAACTAGCTTGTCATATTGATCGGGTTTCTCCTGCAGAGAGCAATGAAACCATCAAATCATACATAAGATATGTTCACAAAATAACCAAAAAGATATGAATTAACTACATCTTCATTTTCCTGGAAAACTCAAAGCAAAGTGTAAAGACAGAAATATTGAAGAGAAATGCTCCCAGATGATGCATGATGAAAAAACACAAAGGCTTTGTAAAAATAGTAATTCACCTGCTGAAAGGAAACTTTCTTCTGAGCATTATCAATCTCCTCTTTTTTCGCATTATCGATTGATATGCTGTTGTTTACAAGGGCCTTGAGGGCTTTCATTTTATTTGGCTGAGTCAAGGACAAGAGGGCCTCAGACTGTACTAAAGATGCAAAATCCTTGTCCAGTTGTTCAATAAACTGCTCGTTTTCTTCCTTATCCTTTGCTTTTTGAGCCTGATTTCATGAGGGGATAGAACACAAAAAAAAAGGACGAATGGTGACAGTGCCTGTCAGAACCTACAACTGTAAAGTGATATTCACTTAACTCAAATAACAAGCAGAAAACCTTGAAGAACTTGCTTTTGGAGATGATATCCTCCATTACTTCTTTCTTGCTCTTAGGCCTCTGGAATAACAAAGATGTGACCAAGTTAGAAGCAGAAATAAACCAGTTTACTTTTAAGGAAAGGAAAATGCTTCTCGGTCGGTATAACTTTAAATGATTATATTTCGAAATAATTTTTAGTCAGCACATGATCTCACATCTTCCTTTTCTTCAACTGTTCTTGATCCTGAACCATCTTCA